CCTGACCTAAGGAGGATTTTATTTAGGGACGATTTTAAGTATAATTTTAATTGGAACACAGCTTCGAATATTTGGTTTTTAATTTGGTTTTAGAGGGGTTTTTATTTATTTTTATTGATATGTGTATCTGTTTTAATATGCTGTGCACCGCCCTGAGTCCTGCGGGAGAAGGGCGGTATAGAAATTAAATTAATAATAAATAAATAAATTAATAAATAATAAGTGTGTTCCATAATACAAGAATCCATGAATCCAACACTTTTCTACAATGTTTTCATCTCTCCTACTGCAAAATGGGGTGTATTTATTTATTTATTTATTTATTACATTTATAAGCAACTCATCTCACTATTGAAGCAACTCTGAGCTTATAAAACTTTAGTTAACAATGTAGTGCTCTTCCAAACAGAATATAATGGGTTAGGTATGTTGGACCATAGCTGTTGATCCATATATATGTGGCTTTTGTTGCAGGTTCTTATGCTGGGGCAGTAGTTGCTATGCCACTTGCAGGTGTATTGGTACAATATATAGGATGGTCATCTGTCTTCTATATATATGGTAAGTTGCCAAGTGAAGAAAAATATCATAGATGAAGCAATATGTGTTGAAATAATGCTGACAAATATTTTGTTAATATTTTGACTGGTTGACAAAATCCTGTTTCATTCTACATTTAAAGGAATATTTGGGATAATCTGGTATATGTTCTGGCTGCTGCAAGCTTATGAGAGCCCAGCTGTTCATCCAACAATAAGTACTGAGGAAAGAATTTACATAGAAACTAGCATAGGTGGAGCCAACTTAATCAATACCAATGTAAGTTATTTGTAGCCTCATTTCATAGTTTTTCCCTCTCTTGGAAATGTTTTATTGTCCACAACTACTGTAGAAAACATCAATTAACAACAAATTTGTTGTTGCATTTTGTCACTACTGTAACCAGTGGTGGGATTCAAATATGTGAACAATCGGTTCTGTGTGTGGATGCCGCTTCTGGAAGTCCATTCTGGGCCTGGGCAACAAAAAATTAGCTACTGGTTCTGCTGAACTGGTGCGAACTGGCTGAATCCCACCACTGACTAACTAAATGTTTGTGAAGATTCTAACCCCGATAATTTTACTCCTGAACGTCTGTGCTTGTTGATTTAATATCCTAATTTATGCTTAGGCGATAGTACTTTGACCCTGAAGCCTTTTGTTAGACATTCCAGATTTTGCCTGATGTGATTTTTAGATTCAGCAACAGAAATATTCTTAATACATAAATGGAAAGGGAGAGAGAAAGAGATGTGGGCACAGTTTTCAGTCTCCCATCTCTCATCCCAAGTTTTTGAAATCATAAGATGGTATAAATCAGTGGTGGCGAACCTATGGCATGGGTGCCAGAGGCGGCACTCAGAGCCCTCTCTGTGGGCAAGCGCGCCATGCCCCGGAAATGGCAACTGTCCCTCTTCAATCAGCCACTTGCATCCCGGCATGGCTAGTTTCCTTCTCCCCCATCCCATCCCTCCTGGCCTGGCATGCTCTCCTTTTCCCGGGCACGACCCACTGCATCGCCTCCTCAGCTGTCAGCCAGCTGTCCAGCTCAGAGGCGGCTTCTTTGAACTGCTGGTGGCGGGCTGCGGAACCCCAGAGTGCACCAGTTGAGGAGCCGGCAGGCTGTGGCTGCTGATAGACACCATCAGCTCCCATGCGCTTGCTGGTCTCTGTGTGCGGGGGCCGATGGTGTCAGGCATCCGCCGCCCCAGCCCTTGCCTTGCCCTATAACAATGGCACCCCCACCCTGCCTCACCTCACCCCGCAGGACAAGCCTCCTGCCTACCACCCCATCTTCCAGAGACCCCCTGAATCTCCCTCAACCCTGCCCACCTCCCATAGGCATCCCTCCCCACGAGCAACATTGAGGTGACAACGCCTACCTTGGCCACACCCAACCAATTTGCCATGTCCACCACAGCCACGCCCACCCAGTGAGCCATGCCCATCTGGCACCCGGCGATAAATAAGTGGGTTTTGGGTTGCAGTTTGGGCACTCGGTCTCTAAAAGGTTCGCCATCACTGGTATAAATCAAACAGGTTTGGGAACAATGCTTTTTTCTTATTTCTAAGCTTGTAGCAAAAAGACTTCTAAAATTTTTCTCTGGCTCTTTATATAAAAAGGAAGTTTGGAGCAACTTTGCATTTTAGCATTAAATTCCGATGATTTTTTTAAAGAAAGATTAAATCTAAATTCCATAAATATGCATAGGGCTTACTATAAAGCAGATGGGCTATTTCTATCAGAATGCCTTTCCTTCCCCACCAGTTGTGATTTCAGGGATACTGAAGTTTCAGGTGCCTTTCAGCTAGTAGTGGAATTAAAGTTGCATCTCTGAGCCATAGTCCAAGACCATCCAGCCTGCCAGTCTCAAATGTCTGCTTGAGGACAGCAACAAAGGGGTGGAGCATGGATTCCCAGGCTGGTTAAGACATGCTGAACACAGTGGGGTTGATGCTGCTTGCTGCAGAATCTTTTCTTTTTCATTATGTAAATAACAAAAAGAGAGGTTACTTATTCATGTTTGTTTTTCAAATATTGTTTTCTACAGTGAAAAAGCTTTCCCCCAAATAATACACATGAATGACAAATTGAACATTAAATTGATGCCTAACATTACCCAGTTGAACCACGACCTTCCATCATTCTAAAAAGCTTTGGCATTCTCTCTTCCAGAGATTTAGCACCCCTTGGAAGCAATTTTTCACTTCGATGCCAGTTTATGCAATTGTTGTGGCAAATTTTTGCAGAAGCTGGACTTTCTACTTGCTGCTCATAAGTCAGCCTGCTTATTTTGAAGAAGTCTTTGGATTTGCAATAAGTAAGGTAAAAATACAAACCCAGGGAATTTTTCTAAAGGTCTGAAGGTAACTTGCTGATTGTTCTCAATTATTTTTGCTTGCTTATACTGAATAAATTGGCATGTTTAAATCTTCTCTTCATGTAGCTCACTGTTAGTCAGTGCCAGCTGCTTGACATACATAATAAAAATCAAGGACTGTTTGATGGGAGAGAAAAAAGCTAATCTGTATATCAATAGTCCTATGATACAAATGATGTTTTGTTATCCAATGACTTGTACATTCTATAACAGCACTTTATAAGCTGTCTTTGGAGGCAGTCCTTAAATTCTTTGGGTGTTTGTTACCAACATACTGCATATTGCATATGTATACAAACATTGTATATTTTTAGTTGAACTGTTGGTGTTTTAGTACTGAGTCTCAAACTGGAGGCCTGTATAATATTTGACACTAATTTTATCTATAGCAAATGTTCAAATAAACCTGTTAATTGTGTTGGAAAATTAAGAAGATTTACTTTGTTGGTGACAAACCATATCCAAGACATAGGAGGGCATGGTCACTAGATAGGATTTCTGAGTTACATCCCTTTGCCTGCTGTTTCCATTGGGCAGCCTTTGCTATTTTTTCAGCAATCACTTTTACAATTCCTTTTATGGTAATTAATGTCACCATAATTTGTAATAACCAATGACAAATGGAAATTTGTCAACTCAATTCTCTAGTGCAAAATATACTAAAATCATCTATGCTAAGGAATCATGTGCTCCTCAAATATTCATTTAATTAATTTCAGACATTGAGAGAAAAATGTATTTCTTTTGGTCACGTGACTTCCACTGTATGTATTTATTTCCAGGTTGGTCTTTTATCTGCAGTTCCACACATGGTAATGACTGTTATTGTACCCATTGGAGGCCAACTGGCTGACTTTTTGCGCAGCAGCAGAATTTTAACAACTACTGCTGTCAGAAAAATCATGAATTGTGGAGGTATGCTTAGATCTTATATTTGATTTGTATGTTACTATCTAACTATCAGACTGATTTGCTGATTTTTAAAAAGTATAATCAATGCAAAATCTCAAGCATTTTGTATATTGTACATTGAAAGAGGGGGTTGAATTTTCAAAATATATGAGGACAGAGGGACAGCTTTTTTTGCTAAAAGTTTCATTCCTTCTGAGATAATCTGTTGGGCCTGCAGATAGAAGGAAGGAAGGAAGGAAGGAAGGAAGGAAGGAAGGAAGGAAGGAAGGAAGGAAGGAAGGAAGGAAGGAAGGAAGGAAGGAAGGAAGGAAGGAAGGAAGGAAATATTGAATTTTATGTTGGTTTAACCTTACAAATTCTAAGCAATTTATAAATATCAAACAATGTATGTAAGAATGATAATAATAAAAAACAGTGCCATAACCTGACTTGGCATTCATGCATCATGCCCATGAACACCTATATGTGCACAGAGAGAGAGAGAGGCATGGTGTTTTTATAAAAAGCAGCAAAAACTAGAAACCAATCAGTATGTTGTTAGGGTCTGGAACTAATTTTAAAGAAAAAAATAAAAACAACATCTAAAATAAATAAATATTTTATACTTCTTGAAGCAGTGTATTTTGAAGAATTATTAATCTTCTCCATACATTTTCTTTGCAGGTTTTGGGATGGAAGCTACTTTACTTTTGGTGGTTGGATATTCTCACACTAGAGGTGTGGCTATTTCATTCTTGGTTTTAGCAGTAGGCTTTAGTGGATTTGCTATTTCAGGTAAAACATAAACTGTTAAACACATTGTAGAAGTATTTTAGTATCAGCAGGATTATTATTGCTATTTCCTGTTTCTATATTCTCATCCCTAGGCTGCTTATCATCTTGGTTCTTAACTTTTAATTTTAATTTTTAATGTTATGTTAATTTAATTGTTTTTAGTACTTTTAAACTTTTATTATATTGTAAGCTGCCCAGAGTTGCTGTATTAATGAGATAAGCAGCACAGAAATTTAATTAATTAATTAATTCAGACAACATTGTAAAACACTGTTGGTACAAAAGAAAAAGGCATATTTTTAAAAGTAGTGATATGGGATATCCTATTGGGATGGATCCTTAACTTTAACTCAAAAGAGAAAATGTACAGTGTATAATGCAAAACTGATTGCAAATTTATAGGCAACATTTTTGTACATACAGAGCCTTAAAAATTTGTCATTAAAGAACAAATTTTCTGTTTGGCAAACTAACCAATTTTGATGCCACCTTTTAATATGCTAAAAATAATGAATTGAAAATCTGTATACATAGGTTCCGTGTTAGAGAACTGATAATGGTAAAAACTGAAAAGCAGGCTAAAGTTATTTGCAAATGTAATCCTGCCTATTCCTACCAATTCAGTGACCATTTTGAAGCCAGTTGCTTGTATAATTTCTAACACAAAAGTGAAATTAGGAAAGAGACAAAATAGGGGAGAGGGAATTCCACAGAACAGAAAAACCTATCCAGTAAAACTTATAATTAGTAGAGATTATAACAAAAAGGCCATTAAGCCAAGTTATTGACTCACTTAAATTTGTAATAGGATCAGTAGATGTGAATATTAATTAGATTGGAAATCTGAGTTCTGCTATTATACCAGCTGTCAGCTAGAAACTTCAGTTTCTGCCCCTTCACACCCTGAATATTTGTGCCTAATCTTGGCCTTGAACTTTACATGACTTGCATGAATGTGACCTGGCCTTTTTTGTTCTCTTATTAATACTAATTATTCAGTCTATTGAGCTTCTTTTATAACTGGTATTTGGAGAACTAACATTTGAAGAACATTTTCTTTCTCTGCAAAACTCTTATCTATCTCATCTCCCTTATCTTCAAAATTGCCACTGTTTTCACCTGTGCAATATCTCTATCTATCTATCTATCTATCTATCTATCTATCTATCTATCTATCTATCTATCTATCTATCTATCTATCTATCTATCTATCTATCTATCTATCTATCTATCTAGTATCAAACTTGTTTGCTACCCATTTCGCCAAAGGCTATTCTGACATTCTTAAATGGCTTTGTAAACTGATTAATTTCTAATGAAAAATTTACTTCATAAAAATTAAAAAGAAGCACGATTATGCTATAGTAAGTGATTGACTATTTAAATATGTTTGTTATATCATTTATGTATTTAAAATATTCAAAACCAGTAATATAATTTCATCTTAATAGTTAAAACCTTTGAATTATCTATGAAATATAAGAGGTTATGATCTTTTCAGTGCTTTATTTTCAAAATAATCATTTTTTCTACGCTTTACTTATTATTTTCCTTCTTTGAGAAACTAGGGCTGTGCACAGAGTCCACACTTCAAAAAATAAGATGAGGGTTGGGCCCAAACTAAAATATATTTAATTAATTTTACATTGACATTAAATTAAATCTAATTAACACAATTAGCCCTAAGGTATTTAATCCCTTTTTTCTTATGTCTTATTTGGTAACCATGTTTGAAATTCTCAAATTCCAGATGACAGTGAGGTCTTGGAGGCTTTGTACATTCATGATCAAGAAGGAAGCAGTTGTATTTAAAGCTGCTTGAATCATTCTCATGCTGACAGAATGCACCTTGTTGATGTTATATTTTGTGTTACAGGATTTAACGTCAACCATTTAGATATTGCACCTCGGTATGCCAGCATTCTCATGGGCATCTCTAATGGAGTGGGGACATTGTCAGGAATGGTCTGCCCTCTTATTGTTGGTGCAATGACAAAACATAAGGTAATTATGTATTTTTTCCTAAATGGCTTTCAAATGCATGGCAGTCAGCTATTGTTTTTAAAGCATCATTAGTTTCACTAATTTCAAACCATTCCTGGTCATTTTGAAAAACATGATGGGGATATGAGATTTTATTTCAGCAAGTGGATTTTGGCATGAACATTACTCTTGCAAGAGAGTTAAGATATTAGCAATGTCAGAAAAAGGTATTGGGAAACTCGGGCTATAGGATCTTCATTTTTTTCTCCCATAACTCTTAATGTAAACATGAAGATACATTTGAACATTATCTAGTCAGATTAGGAACAGGAAATAAACCACATTTGGATGAGATTATAAACTCCATGAAAATTCAAATCTGCAATGTGGGTACACTCCTGGATTCAGTAGTGAACCTGAAGGGTAGATTTCAGTGCTGGTCAGGAGTTTGTGTGTGTGTGTGTGTGTGTGTGTGTGTTTTTGCACAAAACTAGTACAGTAATAAAGTTCTTCTTGCAGATATCAGTGGCCACTATAAGGCCCCTACTTTTCAAGCTACAATACATTTTTACATTGGGCTCTCTTTGAAATGTTTTCAGAATTTCAGCTGATTCGAAATGTGGCTACATTATTAACTAGCCCCAGGAAGTGACTCTCATTTTACAATAGCGTCACTGATTACTTGCTTGTCCCCAGGATCAATTCAGAGCTGCAAGATTTTTGTGGTTTGAAATATAACATTTTCCTGCCATCAGGACTGTTGGTTCCTCCACTATCACAGCCATAGTTGATAGTAACAAAAGAAAGGGGCCTTTTATGCAGATGCTCCTAGATTCTGTCTGCTAAAGTAGCCCAGAGGCTAAAAATAGTTTTATTTGGCTCCAAAGAGATCATGCTGATAAAATCAATTTACTTTAAAGTGATATTATTTATTATATTATTTGATAAGTTTTTAGTTCCTGAGTTTTAATATTTTAACTACAGCTTTGTTGTTTTCTTAACATATTATTTTTTAATGTTATTTCTGGTGGGAAAATGGAATACAAATTTAATCTATATAAAATATGTCCCATGTCATTTCTTTAGACTCGTGAAGAATGGCAAAATGTCTTTCTAATAGCTGCTTTAGTCCATTATAGTGGAGTGGTATTTTATGCTATCTTTGCTTCTGGTGAGAAGCAGGAATGGGCTGACCCAGAAAGTCTGAATGAAGAGAAATGTGGAATACTTGAACAAGATGAACTGGCTGAAGAGACTGAACTAAACAGTGATACTTTTGTTAACACCAAGAAAACATACGGCGCTACCGTTCAGCATGACGAAGCCCAAAGGAAAGAGCTGCCGAAGGAAAAGGGAGTGAGGCACAATGTCGAAGAACAGACTGTTTACCAATATGAAAATGGAAACTTTCAAGATTCATTGTAAATGTGTTCATGGTTTATGTGACCATTAGCATCGGTGTATAAAAGCAAGCTCTCTCTGTATTTATTATATTATTGTGGTTAATCCTGCCAAATGATTGGCTATAAGACATAATCATTTTCAGTTTGTGTTACAGGAAATGGATTAATAAAAATACATCGGATGTGTGCAGTGTCTGTGATCAGCCCTTGGGTTTGCAAAGCCATGTCCTTTAACACCGGGAGCTTTGTTACTAATGATATTTTTAATACACCACTCTTCAGCAATGCATCGTAGTCATGACTCAAACATTATGACCACATAAATATCCTATAAGCAGAATTTTTTAATTAGTTCATTTCCATAGTAATGTACAATGGACGGTGCACTGTGTTTAACTTGAAATTATACTATACAGGTAGTGGTGCTCATTTAACAATGCTAATTGTTAATGGGACTGGAAACTGTTGTTAAATGACATATAAGTTGAAAAATTATGTGACCACACCGCTGCTGCAGTTCCAGCAGTCCCAGTTGCTGTTGTTAAATGAAGACCATGAAGGTCATTAAGTGAGGACCTCACATGACTACAACTTCCAGGTTCCTGCCAGCTTCCCCAATGACTTTGCTCATGGGATGCCAGCAAGGATGGTTGCAAACTGCAATTATGTGACTGTAGGGATGCTGCAATGGCCATAAGTACAAAGTCTAGACATAACAACAGATCTTACTGTGCTGTCGTACACTTGCTGAACAAGTGGTCATTAAATGAGGAATACATGCAGTGGTTGTTTAGGTGCAGCTTTAAAAAGCCTGCTATATATTTTTTTGCCATTTATTCACTCTTTATGTTATCAGTTCCAATGAGATACATATTTTTGGGCCATCTCCAAAAATATATGCCTGTTATAAAAATATTTATGCCATTGGTTCACAATCATAGATCTACAAATTTATTGTTAAAATATTTATCCATGATCCCATCTGACTATCACATTACAACTTCAAACTAAAATTACATACAAAAATAAATGAGGCACAAATATAAATGAAGATCAACTTGTTAGCATAATTAATCATCCAATTATGTTGAAATCGTTGAGGCAAACCTAAAATCCTGGACTTCTTCAAGTCCTGAATGCAGCCCTTTGAGCCACACAAAAGTTGTCACTAAATTAGAATTTTTAGTGTAATCGAAGGGGATCCTGATTAAAAACATATTAAATTAATATTAATTTAATGTAAATTAAATCATTTATTTTTTTTGTCCTGGTCACATCCATGGTCTGCATGCATCCCTCAGATCTTCACTCAAAGGTCAAATGGGCCAAAGTTTCACACTCCCCCTCCCAAATAAAATTGTGTTCCTACACTATTCCATATCTTTTCCATCCCAAATCCACCTGAAATAAATCAGTTATTTGCCAGCCATTTAAAGTAGGAGCAACTCAGACCATTCTTCCAACAATAGTCCTTACATGCTATGATTGGAAAGACTTTTGTCAAATGAGGTTTAGAGCATGTCATTTTTTGCTGTACTTCATGAACTGGGAAGCCAACATGAGCAGAAATAATCCCTTAGATAAATGATATTTAAGTAGCTGCCAAATCAGGATAGATAATAGATAGGCTGCAATTTGTGCAAATTCAAATAATGCAATATTCAATTTAGCATAGACAGTAAATTGATACCAGGCTGTATTTAATTCGACCCAAAATTCAAAATGTAAGTCTAGTGCATGTGCAATTGAATCTAGTGCATGCAGAGTTGTGGTTAGAATTTTAGATGTTGTTAATCTTTGTGAGTGGAAAATGGAGAAAAGGAAGATCCCATCACAGGAAAACAACACAAATTTTAAAAGAAGAGACTTGGATTGAAGCAAAAAAATGCTTTTCTGCTCATGTTGGCTTCCCAGTTTAAATAATATGAAAGTGGTCATAGCAATACTAAAATAGGAAAAGATATTGGAATACCTGAATCTACAGTAGAATCTGTTTTTATTTTGCTTTCGATAACCACTCTGTGACTTTTGTTAACTTTAAATTTAAATTATAAGTATATTCTTTTTATCCATTACTGTAATATTTTACCAATATACATATGAAACATTATGTTAAACATTTTTCATTGCCTATTTTTGTCAAGCTGAAACCAGTTATCATATTTTCCATAAAATTTTTACTTTATTATTATTATATTATCAAATAAAACAACATTATTTGAATTCAAATGATGCAAACATTTCACGGCACTAATCAAGACCTATCTGTAATAACTGGCAATTCAGTCATGGGAGAGGAACAAGCAATTTGAGAATGTGTTCTTTGTTTCTGAATTACATATTTATACATTTCTGATATATTTTCTTGCAAAATAAAGATCTATATAGCAGGGAGCCCAAGGAACAGTTGCTTTAAGTTATCCCTTCATATAAAAAAGCAAATGTGTTCTTGTGCCCTTTGCTTTTCTCTCAAAGGATTTATACATATTATACTCCCATACATTTGACATTATGTAAGCAGTCAATGTATTTGCAGGAGTTTATTGTTTAAAAAATAATGTGTTGATTGTTATAGCGATTATAACGGATTTACATGCAATACACCTGAAATACTTGGCATTCTAGAATTTTCCTCATAACCTGTGAGAAATATCCAGGAAGCATGTTGCTTGTCTTCTAACCTGATTATTTTGTTTTCCTGCTATCACTATCAGTAAAATTGCAAGTGAAGATATTCTGCTACATTGTGTATTTTTTTTTGTAATATATTTTATTGATTTTTTAAAAACATAAATCACTTAATAACTGGTGAACAGTGTGTTGTCTGGGTTTACATTTGTAAAACAATCACTAACAATTGATTTTTATAATCCATAATCCACATAATGGTTTTAGTTGATTTCCTGTTTTCCCCAAAATGTCCGCTTTTGCAAACATTGAGTTAATACTTATTGTTTTGATAGATAACAATTAAATATATAATTTTTTCCCAATATTCCTAAAAGTAAAAATCATATCAATATAATATTTCTTTTCTATCCAATCATTCTGGTTGCCTTATCATAGTCCTTATTTAAATTTGTTTCTCCCACAAAATTCAAAGTATTCTTACTGGTTAAGATTTTTTCAAAAATTAATTACATTTAAAAATTTAAGTCTATTTTTTTGCCAGTAAAAACAGTAAAAAAAAACAGTAAAAAAAGAAAGGAGAGCAAGAGTAAAGAAACATAAAAATAACATACTACTTAAAATATATCTCTCTCCTAAGCTAATATATATTTGTTTCCAAAATTTCTTATTCTTTTTAACCATAATTAAAATATGTTTAATCTTTAAATATTTAATACATCTACTCATCTAGTCTAACTCTTATTCAAAACATTTTCTTATCCATTATAATTTTCTTAAATTCAATCACATTTAAATATCTAAAACATTTCCTTTATTTAAGCCATTTCAAATTTTTATATTACTCATATCAAGAAATATAATAAAAAAGGGGGAAAAGCATATTATTTGAGGGATTCATCCCTCTTAGAATGACATATATATTCCAAATATTTTCTATTTCTTTAACCATATTCAAACAAATGTTTCTTTTTTAAGTATTCTCTCTGGTAAGTCCCATCATCTATTTTCTTGATTTCCACTTTAGTCTTTTTCCTTTGCCCAGTATCTTTCTTAACCAATGTATTTTGCTGAGTCAAAAGGTCTTTCCATATGTTCATAAATGTTACTGTAGATTTAAAAAGGAAATCAGATGAATTGTCTTTGTACAGGGCTTCTGCCTTTCCATGTTTGTTGAAAACCTTTTTGTTTTTCTTTCTCTCCGCTTCTCTTATCATTTCCTTTCTCTCCGATGTTCCTGACATCTCTACAGTCCATTTTATCCAGTCTGTTTTCTTGTCCTCAGACTTATTTTGTAGTCTTAAGGGATAAGTTTTTTTTCCAATTCTTGTAAAAAAAATTTCCACTAGGATTAAATCATATTTCCTTGTTTTGTTAAGTTCCATCTTTAAGTCTCTATTCTCAATTTTGTATCCACTTATCTGTTTTATCTTTTCCTTCTCTGTTGCTGTTTTCTGGAGAAATTTTTATTGTAAAGTTAACTTGGAAACAGATTGATTTATATTTTCAAAGTTATTTTGAATTTCTTTGTGGTTTAAAATCATTGAATTAGTTGCAGTATACTATATATCTCCTCCTGTGGAGTATTTATGTTTTGTTGATATGTTCTTTCTATGTGTCAATGGTCAAGAATTTGAGTTTTTCTCTTCTTTTCTTTTCTCTGCAAATAGCTTTAGAGTCCCGGTTAAATAGATATTTGTAATCCAAATAGTTCAAAAAAGATTTCCCCCCCTGAAATTTATAATTCTTTGTCTACAGCCCAGATTACCGTCTTTTTTGTCACAGCTGTTCTTTGTTGTTAAAGCTTTCAAAGTTTTGCAAGTCTTATATGAAAGTCATAGCTGTTATAGTCTTCATCCACCACTACGTGTCAGCATCTATTTGTTTTTCAATTTCCAAAATGAACAATTGTCTTTAGAATGAGAGTCTTAACCATTCAACAATATTAGAGTTGCCCAGATTTAAGTTTTAAATTTCAGATTTTATGTTTATTTCATTTCATATATTTTGATCCTCCATAAAAAGATTAATTCGCCGCTTCTGTTAGTATAAGGGTGGGGCGGAAATCCCCCTCCTTCCCTTTCAGAGGTATTTTGCTTCTTGGGGATCTTTTTCAGGAAATTAAATATAGAATAGAAAAGAGAAGATCAAATTCCTCATCCAGTTTTAAACACGCTGTTCACAGTTGTGCTGGTTAGTACTTTTGGACTTTGGTTGCAAGTAGCTTGGGCTGGTCGATGAAGTATGACCAGATTTTGTCCTGTTGGGTTAGAAGGCTTTCCCCAAGTCGAACGGAATAACTGCCGTTCTTCCAGAATCGCTGGGGCACCCTTCTTTCTTCATCGCCTCTCTGGGGCGACTTAGATCCATTTAGGGTCCCCTGGCAAGGCGAAA